AAGGGGGGGGGGGCAGAGGAAGTACCTAGAACAGATGTTAGCCTTATTAAATGACTGTATTACAAATTAATTGGATAAGCAAAGGACCAAATTGTACACTAAGAAAATGTTCTCAACACACTAAATTACTTTCAGATATAGGATTTTCTTCATGAGAAGGGTTACTGCTGTGCAGATTCTGAATCTATACGTAGTTTTTCAGCATAATAAAAACAGCTTTTTTGTCTGCCAGGGTTTCTTGCAAAATCCTCGTAGTGATCCTGAGATGTTAGTCACATAGACCTAGGTAGCATGTTTTTTGAAAGATGGAGCCATGAAAGGTAATCAACTTATTTTATGCTCTTGGATTTTCTCAAGTGGGGAATGACTGCCTGGTGGAAGAAGATAACCTGGCTAGGAAATCCTTTTATACGCTATGTATGGTTACTGTTTGCCTGACTTATAAATGAGGCAGATACTTCTCAGATATTGCCATGTTATAGATAGCAATTAGTCAGTGAAGGAAATCCAGTTCAGTATTTGCTATATACAAATTGATAAAGTGGACAGTCAGAAGTTTTGTTTGAAGAGTACAAATGAGCAATGACTCCTTTGAAAGAAATTATCACTGGTACTGTTACTTTTAGATCCCCATTTAAACAAGTACATCAAAGTCAGCAAAGAAAGTAACGTAAAGTTTTAGGAAAATATGAGGTATTTTTTTTCCAAGTGTGCCTTGAAAGTCACTTAAGAAAAGCAAAATAAAACAAAAAAGGATGAAAGTTGAAAAATCAGTAGTAGGGGAGATGGCTTAAAATGCTTGCATAGGTTGCCCTGTGATACTAGTGAGCTGTCCCAGAGAGGCCATGTTGTCATGGAAGTGATACAGCTGTGTGAGAGATTGTACTGGACCTAGTTTCTGTAGTGTACTATTAATGTAAACTTGGAATGGTAAATTTATAAAAATTTATAAAAATTGATAAGGTGCCTGTGTTTTTATATAGCTGAAAAAAAGACAAAACATCCTTAGAAAGGAGGTCTTAATCGTGGACCACAAATCCCTTAAAGGGAAAGGAGAGACTTCCATTGTCTTGACTGGATATCACATCTTGGCTGTTAGAATCTGATAATGTGAATTGTCAGTGTTTTTATTTCTGTCTATAACAGATTGTGCTGCTACTGAGTGCTTTTTTTTTTAATGGTTTAAAGAAAACCAGAGCCTTATAATATTGTGTGGCACTAAATCATTCTAAAAACTTGCTTTTTTCCCTTTAAGAAGTTGATGAATTTGTTGTTTTATTACAAGCTGTCAGCTGAATAACAGGTCTACATTTAATTAAGAGTAGCTTTTGTATTTGTACGTAAAATGAGAAGAGTTCCATTTTGTCTCATTTTGGCACATCAAAGAATGAAACACAAGAGTGAAATTCTGTAAAATTCTTAAGGCTTTCTAATGTAAAAGGGATTTATGCATAGAGATAATTGAATTATTTTCCCAGTCATGAACTGGCAAGTAGCTATGACAGCTAATAGTTGTGACTTTTACTGCTCCTTGTAAGCAGTGTACTGGAGCTTAGTAAATGAAATTATCGGCTATTAATGTGTATGCTGTTTCCTTAAAACAAACTTGCAGGAAATGTTTATTGCATTCCTAATTGATAGCAGTACACAAGAGTTTAAAAGTCTGCTTCTTTTTTAAAAAAAAAGAAAAAAAAAAAAAAGGCCTACTTAAGCATATGTAGTACTGCTCATGAAACTTGAGAATTGGAAATGTCTAACGGAAACAAAAGCTGCCAAAATAGCTATACTAACTGAACTGAGCTGTAAGAAGAAAGCTTTTGAAAGACGTAGCTTTCTGAAAATTGAAGAAAATTAATGAATAAATGCTATTAGGAAGTTGCATAAAGAGCTGCACTTAGTGAAATGTTGTCTTAACCCAGCTGTAAATATTTAAAATGCCCATCCTTCCTGATATGCAGCAAAGAGAGAATAAAAGGAAATAGATACATTTTATTTC